AATGAAAAAATATCCTCAGGTAAGGATTTAAAAAAAATAAAATAAAATATTCAGAAAAGCAAACCAAACATTAAAAAGTAGAAAAACAGATTCATAATAGATTATTAAATACAGACCTTTAACTTCTTGGAATAGTATCATAAAAGAGGACCTTACTTACCTTTCCCAATTTATCCCTTGATCCCTATTGTAGTGAGAACCTTAACCTAGATGTACCATGGAGGAACTATACTATAACCCATGTAACACATTTTTTTTTTATCCTCACCCAAGGACATTTTTGCATTTATCTTCAGATAGAGCAGGAGGGAGAGAGAGAGGAAAAGAGAAAGAGAAACATCATGTGACAGAGACACACAATAGGTTGCCACCCACACGATCCCAGCATGGGCCAGAGACAACTACAACCTAGGTACCTGCCCTAGCATGGGCCGAACCTGGGTCTCTCCAGTCGGCGGGCCTACACTCTAACCACTGAGCCAAACCGGCCAGAGCCCATGTTACACTTTACCAAGGCCTAAGGAAAAGAAGAGGCAATGAAAAGACAAAGAGTAAAGGGAACTAGGAAGCATTTTTCTGGATCTATTGAGATCTTGCTTCTAGGCATATGCTCTGTTTAACTCAAATAAAATTTTTTTAATTCTCAAAAATGAGAATAAATGAAAGTAAAATTCTTCTTCAACTATGGTACATTTAGAATTGACAATTTAACAGTTTTTCTTAGGCATCTTCCATACATGGCTGTTAGGGTATATCTCAAACTTTTAGGTACTAAGAGACCTCAAATCAAGTATCTCCTCTTCTCTGCCCCAATCAAACCCTGTTGTAGGAAGAACCAAATATCAGTCACATACACCACATTTAAAGTGCTTAAAATAGTGCCTTACTCATAGAAAATGCTATGTATGTTGGTTACGTTTATTAGTCTTGTCACTTGCATTTATATCTTAAGTCTTTCTAATTTGAATGAAAATGCTTTCTCCCTTTAATGGAATTTGAAATATCAGTGAGCAGATACTGAAAAATATTTTGGGAGAGTCCTGAAATAAGACTTTGTAGGCAAACACCTACTTATCCAGTCTAGTGTACTTTTTCTACTAAGCAATGGCTGCATGCCCAGGCAGCAATTATTAAAATTTTCTCTGAACACAAAAGGAAGGTACACCTACATGGTCAGCTGTGAAGAATTTTATATGGCTCACATGTGCTCAAACTTCTATTTATTGAACCCTAATGTACGTGATAATTAAATCAAGTTTGGAGTATCCATGAGGGACATGAATAAACACACTTTAAACAGTAGAACCATATCAAAATTAAAGCCACTTAAATGAGGATAATTCCACTCTACTGGCCTGATCCTCATGCCATCTAATCTGCTCTACCACCTCTTTTGTTGATTTGAAGGTTTCTCCTCTAATTATTTACTTCCCTACACACACACACACACACACACACACACACACAAAGAAACCTAAATACCAAGATGGTCTCATTGGTGAAAGAGAAAGGAAATTGTTAATAGTAAGGAAGATGAAGGAAAGGGAGTTGACAGTACAGAACCCTAATTGTAAAGATTACTTCTTTGTTTGGTAGTTTCTTAAGTGTTTCAAACTTTTAGAATAAAAGTACAAGGTCAAGGAGGCATACACCATAAAGATTTAGAAAATTTGCTAAAGAAACCATATCATGTTTTTCCACCAACTCACTTTCCCAGTGACATGTTACCAGCACCTGGCTCTGCTACCTTTACCAAAACCACACCCCCTTTCTTGAAACAAACTGCTTGAACCCGGCTCCACTCCACTCCCATTTGGCAAAAAAAGAAAGTCTTCAGATGAACAACTATCAAATACAAATCTGTTTGGAGCCCATCCATCAGTGGTCTTATTTTTGGAGAAATATTACAAGACAGAACATTAGTCTTAGAATATATGAACAAGGGATTTAGTTACTCTTTCTTCAACAGGGAAGATTCACAAAACCCCCATCACGATAAAAAGTATTGACTTTTCTTTATTCTTTTTCCCCACTTCCAAATTCATTGCTCTTCCCCCTACATGAGATGCTAAAGCTCACAGTCAAAATTCACATCTACAATAAAGAGGCCTGAGAGAAATGCACATGTAATCCCACTCCTTAAATATCACTAAGACATCTGAGATATTGTTTAGATTGTGGACTCTTACTTTGACATGCCAGCATAGGTAGATGGACAGGCAAGCACATCAGATGTCACTGTTTGGCAGCTGATAAAAGTCAGTGGTGCTATAATACTAAGCACAGAGCCACTAGATTAGTCTGTGAGAGAAGGGGATGCCTCTTCCTTCCCTTCTATAGTGGGTTAAACCCAGCTGGCACCCTGCGGAACTAAGGGTAAGTCTCTTCTTTATTCCTGCTACAGTTTGGGGGTTTTTTTGTTTGTTTGTTTTTTTGTCCAAACCAGAGAAGTATGTACAGAGGTGATCTTCAGATAGAAAGTTTGAAAGACACAACATCATAATGGTATTATACAAAGATTTGAAGAGAAAGTGCTCTATTAATTCCATTAGAACTGGAAGGAGATATAGAAAGGGTAGAAGAAAAAGCAGTTATGTGTTATTATTTTTAAGTCATCATTTTTCCTTGAAAGGAGACACTTGGTCTGACTATAACTATGATGATATCCTACAGCTTCAAAATATCCTCAATCATTTTTTTCTACAAGTCTATGATATATTAGAGATAGAAAAAAATGTTAAGATTTTTTAAATAGGAGACTGACTAGTATTTTATTTATGAAATCTTTGATATTCATTTATCATAATTCAGAATAAAATGATCATGTAATAGAATCTATTCTAGAATTGGATTGCTGAATGGTAACTACAAACATGAAGAAAAGCCTTTCAGAGTTACCTGTGGGAACATCTGTATAAAATTTAGTGAAACATGAACACAATACAACATTTGAAAGAACATATTCTTAATTGAGCTTTAAAAAGATAGCAGTAATTTTTAACTATGTAGGCCAATACCAAAATGAACAAGATAGTTGACATTACAAAAATATATGTGAAGAAAAATAGGGGATTTTTGGAAAAAGATCTGCTGGCTATAAGTTAAAGTTAATTCCTTGCTATTTAAAATGAATCTAAATCATTTGCCTGTCCAAAAAGAAATTTAGGAACAAAACTGGATTCAATTCTGCAATGGAATGAATAAACCAGTAACTTCAAAACTATTGGCCTTAAAATTGTTTTTTTTGTTGTTGTTTTCTTTTTTGAGAAAATCTAATTAAAGCCTCTTCTGGATGTTTTTCTTTAACAATTTAAAGGCCTAATATAGTTAATTACTAAAATGGACTCTAGCAGAATGTACTTGTGTTCATAAACTTGAAGTTAAGGAATATATAACTTTTTAACTCTTTTCAATAGAATTTCTCTCTTGGCTGTTTAGTTGCAGTTTTGTTCTTTCCTAAAACTGCTAGTTTTAGTTTAAACTATATGCACAATTAGGATGAAGTTGTCTGGAAATTTTTCATTAAAAATAATACTTTTTCAAGATAGAAAATTAAATAAGTATAAGATTTTGTTTCAATAATGACAAATAGGCTAATTTATTAGCTAAAAGTTTGAGTCAGCATTATCTCAGTGTTGCTTTAAACTATGTGAAACAAATGAAATGTATTTTGAACTAAATTAGCTGATATTTTGAATAAAAACAGAATCAATGCTACAATTTATAGTACTAGTCATTGTGCGTAATGTCTGTATATAGTCCTGCTTAGATTTACCATACTAATGGAAGAAAGCAAGGCAAATATAATTCCTTAAGATGATTTTAGTGACACATGATTCCTCTAAGAAAAAATGGGGGTCTACTGTAGAAAGTCAGGTGAACCAGTGTAGAGCTAAGTAAGAGAAATGGTACCCATCTTTTCTTGTTAATGTACAGGCTAGATTCATAGTTGTCTTACTTCCTTCTGTACATCCTGTTAGCCATTTCAAAAAAATATGAGCTAAAATAATTTTAAAATTAGTCTAAAATACATATTAAACAAGTAAAAATAATACAAAGTAAAATTAAATAATGAAGAGAACATCAAGGCCAATAACTAGATAGGATAATCTAAAAATAACAGAAAAAATTTACAAATGACTCTGGAATGCAGTTGGTGACATATATTATATACACACAAAGAAACAAATATATAGTCACTCCTTAATTATTGTCTAGTTTGGTATTATGGTCAATTTGGAATCAAGGGCAAAAAAAAAAAAAAGGCAGTGAATTGGAAGGTAAAAAAAATCCACTCAAAGTTGACAACAATGAATTATAGATGTTCACTCTACTTTGTGAAACTGTGAAAGGGCGAAAGGGTAAATATGGACATTAAAGTAACATTTTTACAAAAGAAGCATATTGCTCCCCTTGATTTACCAAGACATCATTCATCACAGATCACCAGGACATGACTTAACTGATGTATCAGAAGAGCTGTTCATTGGTCTTGATGAGCACTGGGAAGGATTCAAACTGAATAGAAGCTGACATGTTATATATTTAACTGCTAATGATTTTAAATAGTTAAATTTCTGTGGTTAGTGAAATGGTAGCCTCTGGGCAAAAGCTAATCATGAGACATGAGAAAAATCATTTGTGCAATGACAGAGATAAAGGAAGGGGAAGTGTAGAAATCAGGGAAGTTCTACTTTGAGATGACCTTGAAAGCATCTAAGCTCAAAAAAAAAGTTAAATAAACAGTATTTTTATGCAAATATTGTAACTGAATCATTTTCTCCTTTTGAAGGAAAAACATTCTTCAAGAGAAAGCCACTCCATCAAAGCCAGAAGTACAGTATTCCCAGGATCTCAACAAGAGGGGGCAGAACAAGGTTGCTTCTGATTCCTTGTGACCTGTAATTCCAGGCTTGCAGTCCCAAATTCAGGACGCCAGCCCCCCAGGAGTAAATCATTATAGTAATATATTACCTTCATCTTCCGTATACAAGCTAAGCATGTTTAACTACGAACGGCCAAAACACTTCATCCAATCCCCAAATCCATGTGGCTCCAGACTGCATCCCCCCGGACCAGAAACCTCCAGCTACTCTAGCCAGACCAAACAGTCTTCCATTATCATCCAGCCCCGCCAGTGCACAGAGCAAAGATTTTCTGCTTCCTCAGCAGTGAGCTCTCACATCACCATGTCCTCCTCCTCTTCTGCTTTCCCTGCTTCTCCCCAGCAGTTTGCTGGCTCCAACCCAGGCCAAAAGGTTACAGCCACCTATAACCAGTCCCCAGCCAGCTTCCTCAGCTCCATATTACCATCACAGCCTGATTACAGTAGCAGTAAAATCCCTTCCACTGTGGACTCCAAGTAAGTGAGTTTTTAAAATATATGCATATGAATATATACTGTATATACAAGTAGCTGAGGACTGTGGTGGGGGGGGGGGAGGGATGCAGATAATGCTGTAGTTCATTCTTCTCTATCTAAAAAGGCAATGTGACCTCAAGGTCTCATCCCATAATTCTCCTAAAGCACCTTGAACCAGGGTACTGGCAAGAAGAGGTTATCTGACCTAATATTCTGGCTGAGCTGAATCAAATCATCTATTACCCAATACAATTACTTACCCATTATTTTCCATCTTCAAAAAAATATTTCTAACATACCAAGAACAGTGAACTATTCCCCAGTCCTAAGCTATGTTCCTCATGCTGTCAATTTAACTGCTCCAGTTCTGAACTCAGCTGAGATGAAGAACACCTGCCTGCCCATCTTCAGATAGGATTTCCTCTCACATAAGCAGAAGCTATTAAATTTCTTCTCAGTCTTTTCGTCCTATCCATTTTCCCCTCTGGTCTTGAATATCCACTGGCTAAAAAGAAAATCTGCGATTCAGACATTAAAGTATATGACTTTTCCTTACTCTGATCAGAAGAAAGGCTTGAATAAAAGTTTATGACCTTAAGGTTTCCTTTGGTAATTAAAACCACACTTTGTTCAAATTGGTTAGGCTGATCTAAATACAGGGAAGAATACCTGCAGCCTTATGCAAGCATGTACTATTTTCACAGTCCTAAAACTGTGCTAGGAGAACCTGATACGAAGAAGAACATAGTGGTTGTGCTTTTTTTAAAACATGAACTGAATACTTTGTGCTTATGTAAAGTTAGGGCTATCAGTTTTCCTATTCCTTGGCTGGCTAGAACATCAGAGAATTAAATCAGAGGCATCTGAAAAATATTGTCTGTTGGAATGTATTTTGTTTGTTACAGGCTTATTGACAGATTTGCTGAAATTCTTATTAATTTCTCTCAGTCCTCTCTAGAGGCTAATTTTTTCTAAAGAGTCCAATTAATGTTGGTGACTACTCTGGAAACCTAGCTGAACTGCCTATAGCATTAAACTAGCAAAGAAAGCTTTTCAATATTTTTAAGAATGAAAACCAGAAAAGCCAAAAATATTTGTTAAAATCCTCGATACTAGGCTAAACCATTTGAAATGGTGGATAGTAAACTGTTTTCAATCTACAAAAAAAAATGGCATTTCATATGTTTGACCTAATATTTTTATTTATTGATTTTAGAGAGCGGGAAATATCAATTTATTGTTCCACTTATTTATACATTCATTGGTTACTTCCTGTATGTGCCCTGGCTGGGGATCGAACCTACAACCTTGGTGTATCAGGATGACACTCTAACCAACTAAGCTACTGGCCGGGACTCTGACCTAATATTTTTAAAAAGATGTATTAAAAAATTAAGAGCCCTCTCTTTATTTTCCCTCCCAAATTCCCATTATATCCATTATAACACATTGTACATTTTTCTTGGTAACATTTTACCCAGACAATCTCTTTCCATCTAGCTTTCAATTATTTCCAAATTTCCTACATGAGCATTTTAAAATCTAAAATAACCTTTTCTGACTATATTTTTCTTAATAAAGTCTTTCAATCCTACTCCAATTTCCTACACAGAAAAGAAAGCCATTAAATAAACATTACGGAGCCTAAACCATGTGCCTACCTCTGTGTACAGAACTAAGAAGAGATAAAGAAAGGCAAAATGGAGAGGATAAGAAATAAAACATAGGAGGTCCCCCAACCAGAGATCAAAGATCCAGCTTTAGCTGTTCCATTTTCAGCAACCACAGATAACCCTTTTAATCTTCCCACAGCCACTTGATACCCATTCTGTGCCCAGCTGCACAGGGTGGAAAGCTCTGGCCCTTTGAACATTTGTGCACAACTCCCTCATTGTTATGAGGGGCTTAAATTTGCCACCTCTTATAAAATAATCCATTGGATTCTGACCTAGAGAAGTTTGAAAGCTTTATTTAGCTTTTCATCTGTAGGAAACCCTTAAGCAAATGTTCTATTCAGTTGATCAAACCACAGACTAGAAACTGAGAACTCTTTAATTCTAATTATTCCTTCCAAAAACCATGCTGTGACATTCAGCAACTTTACCGGCTCAGTGATTCAGTTTTCTGATTCATAACAAAATTAAGGATCTGGGTGGTTAATGATAGAAAAAAAGACCTATACAGCAGTGTGCAAGTATACTATTAGTTTATAAATATGAGTAGATATCAAGTGCTAACACTTAAGCTGTCTGAACTGGTAATAATGGGTATATTTAGTAAATAAAGTGATTGAGGTTACTTATATATCAGTGATTCTCAGGCTTGGTTTTGATAATCCTTTAAGATTTCTCAAATATATAACAATTAAAAAATTATTTAATACTAATTTACTGTAACAAATGTGTGAGTGACTTTTATAAATACAGTAGGCTAGCATCAAAAATACATAGGCTATTTTAACTTCATACAGTTAGAGAAATAGATCTATAAGAACAAAGGAATTTTACCCCTTTGACTTAGGAATTCAATCGCAAACCAAATGAACAAAAACCAAAAAACCTCACTATTAATTTAAACATGTGGTTTGGCTATTTACTTGACTTTAGTTAAGGATTAATATAGATAACCCTGAAGATCTGAAATGTAAGAAGGGAAAATATGTATCACTAATTTTCATTATAGACTATCTTGGATACAATGGAAAACATTCATTCATTCAACTGATAGTATCATCTATACCTAAACTCTGTTAGTGGATATAAATGATATAATAATGAGTAATAAGAGATTTTTTTCAGTATGATTACAATCTAGAGATCATTAACCAAGTCTCCACAGCTTACAAAAATTAAAATTCAGGCTCTACTCAGAGGAGATACATTTCTACTTAGCTTACAAATTATTTTAATGATCCTTGAGAATATTTGAACAGAAACATGTCACAGATCAGACCAAGGTTGCCTTATCTGAATAACTGAGGTTTATTACAATAATGGTGAAATATTCACTGAAGATAGTTGCCAGTTTCCCCACATTAAATACAAGTGAGCATCTATATGGCCCTAAATGAATAAACTATGTGAAATATGAACAAAGCACTGTGGAAATTGTACCTAACAGATCTAATAATATAGGAGTCCTTAAATACCACCCCTGCTCTCCATCAGAATCAACAGGGGAACTCTTTGGGGGGCAAGAAAATTTAGTATCAGAACTTGAAATAAGTATTTAAACCTAACTCTTCAACCGCTATTCAAATTTGCTTCCTTTTTCTCCAATCTCCCCCTTTTTTAGTTTATATTTCTCCTTCCTCTCCTAATCATTCTTTTCTTTCTCCAAAAATCACTTTAGCTACATTAAACAGAATGTCATCACTGTAGAAGCTATTTGTTATATAGTGCCATACTTGCATTTTCTACAATATTAATAGGAGCCCTGGCCAGAGTGGCTCAGTCAGTTGAGTGTCGTCCTCTGCACCGAAAGGTCCCTGGTTCAATTCCTAGTCAGGGCATATGCCAGGGTTGCTGGCTCAATACCCACTAGAGTGCGTGCAGGAGGCAACCAATTGATGTGCTCTCACATCGATGCTTCTCCCTCTCCCTTAAATCTCTCTCTACAAATGTTTTTAAAAATCTTTTTTAAAAAAGAAATGAATAGGAATTGGAAACTGATAGAAAAACCAATGACTATGTAAACTGGATGCTCCTTTCAAAACAACAGAATAGTCACTAAATACCAGTGGTTATACTGGTAAATGTGTAACGATCAGCTGGAGGAAGGAGCCATGATCTGCGGTATTTACCAATATCCCTGGTGTAGATATCCCCACCAGCACCAATTTCAAACTAGCATGAGATCACAGGGAGCGGGGAAGAGATGCTAAAAATCAGCCCTCTTAAGCCCCTATGAGTCAAGTACATCACTTCTTAATATCCACTTATTCAGTTTTAAGATTAGAAGGGTTCTCAAGCTATAAGTAACTAGACTTATTCTCACTTCTTTTTTTTTAACTTTTTATTTTCAGATAGAGTGGGAGGGAAAGAGAGAGAGAAACATCGATGTGAGAAAGACACACTGATAGGTTGCCTCCCGCAAAACCCCAACCAGGGCCGGGGATCGAACTGTAACCAAGGTACATGCCCTTGACCAGAATCGAACCCACGACTCTGGTCCACGGGGCCAAAGCTCTAACTGCTGAGCCAAACCAGCCAGGGCCTTACTCTCACTTCTTTAAGGAAGATCTTCAAGGAAAGACATCCTCCTTATGTCTAATCTAAATTGTTCCTTCTGCTACTTAATTTTCACTTGCCAAAATGAAAAGAAACAAAGCTGGTGACAACTCTTATAAAATCCTCCTTGACTGTTACTAGGGAAATTGGGGAGTTTGTATTACACTTGTAGTACTAAGTGGCCGATTCAAACTATCTAAAGGTGACTGTCAAAATAAGGCCAAGTCTCTTTGAGATACAAACTTTTTTTTGTAATGTATTTTGAAGGGATTAAGAAAAAAAACCTCACAGACAGACAAAACAGTATGGTCCAGTATGGTCATTCCCAGAGGGAAATGGGGGTGACGGGAGGCAGGAGAGGGTAAAGGGTGGATAAATGGGGATGGAAAGAGACTTGAGTTGGGGTGGTGAACACGTAATACAATATACAGATGACATATTATAAAATTGTACACCTTAAACCTACATAATTTTATTAACCAATGTAGCCCCAATAAATTCAGTTTTATTTTTGTTTTTTGTTTTTTTTTATCCTCACCTGAGGACATTTTTGCATTTATCTTCAGATAGAGCAGGAGGGAGGGAGGGGGAAGAGAGAGAGAGAAACATCGACGTGAGAGAGACACACCGACTGGTTGCCACCCACACGACCCCAACAGGGGTCAGGGACAAACTACAACCGAGGTACGTGCCCTTAGCGGGAACCGAACCCGGGACTCTCTGGTCCGCAGGCCAACACTCTAACTGCAGACCCAAACCGGTCAGGGCACCCAATAAATTCAATTTAAAAAATAGATATACATCTTAAAGGTTTTCTTTTTTTAAAAATCTTTTTTCTTTTTAAAGGTATCAACAACCCTCAGTTGGCCAACCTGTATATGCTAAGCCATCCCAAAGTACAAATGCTAAGCCCACACCAAGGACTCCTGACCATGAAATACAAGGATCAAAAGAAGCTCTGATTCAAGACTTGGAAAGAAAGTTAAAATGCAAGGACAGCCTTCTTCATAATGGAAATCAAGTGAGCAAGAAGTCTATTTTATACAAAAAGCTAATTAAACTATAAAGTCTAATCTCAATAAGAACGTTCTTTCTGTCTCACAGATCTATGACCATATACTCAGCAAGGAATAATCTTTTTTTTTAAACAATGACTCCTCCATTCTCCATTCTTTATATACATATATGTATATCTATATATATGTATATGTTTTTGTTGATTTTTTAGAGAGAGAGGAAGGGAGAGATAGAAACATTAATGTGAGAGAGAAAAAAGGATCAGCTGCCTCTTGCATACCCCCCACCCAGGATTCGAGCCCGAAACCCAGGCACATGCTCTGACTGGGAATTGAACCGGGACCTCTCAGTCCATGGGACGCTCAATCCACTGAACCACACTGGCCAGGCTAGGATAATCTTTTTTAAAGAAGGAATATTTGGGTCCTATTTCATATTTTTCTGCATTAAATCACCTCTTGGTTTTGTGTAGTAAAAAAAATGAAGCAAATGAAAAAGTCAATCTGAATGATTTAATAAATAATTTGTTTTAAGCATTACCCTCTCATAAAATATGTCTAATGACCAAATAACTAATAGGAAATACTGTCAACTTGACTTCTTTAAGTACTTTGGTATATATTATTGATGGACAAATAGCTATAATTTATATTATTGTAAATCTTACTGCGCATATTGTATTAGTCACCTATCTTTAAAACAGGTTTTTATTGACTTTTTTTAGAGATAGAGATAAAAACATTATTGTTTTATATTAATCTCAGTTATACAGCATAGAGGTTAGACAATAATATATTTTACAAAGTGGTTTCTTTAAAATATATTTTTTATTGAATTTTTAGAGAGAGAGGAAGGAAGAGAGAAACATCGATATGAGAGAGAAACATCAATCAGCTGCCTCCTGCACACTACACTCCCTTCTGGGGATCCAGCCTGCAACCCAGGCATGTGGCCTGACCGGGAATCAAACTGGGTCCTCTCAATCCATGGGACAATGTTCAATACACTGAGCCACATTGGCCAGGCTATTTACCTATCTTTAAAACAGTACTATATGCTGTTAATCCAAATACATTTAACATACCAGTTGCACTGCTTTCAGCCAGAAGTTAGTAAGTCAAATATTCAGTGTTCATTTATAAAGTTTTTTTGTTCCGGAAGTGAGGACGTACAGTATTATATTCAAAGACAGAGTTGACTGGAACACACACAACAAGAAGGAAGGGAAAGAATTTCCCTTTACTTGGGAGAGCCATATTTAAGGGTGATTATGCCTGCCTTTCCAAGGAGCAAAAACAAAACAAGTGAATATCACAGATGACAGAAGTGGCACTTAGAATGGAAGGAAATACTTTGAATGAAAGAAAATGCTTTTTAAAACATAGCATCTACCTATACTTCAAAAGACAGAACTATACTTCTCTAGTAAAATTCTTACTAACGAATTTTTCAGTAAGACCTGTACAAACAACTTTTATTACATCTCATTACCATTCTCCTTAATGACTTCTTTCTTTAAAGCGGCTAACATATGAGGAGAAGATGGCTCGCAGATTACTAGGACCACAGAATGCAGCTGCTGTGTTTCAAGCTCAAAATGACAGTGAGACACAAGATTCACCACAGGTAAATTAAAATAATCTTTATCTAGCTGGAGCTCTGTTTATGTGTATAATTTTTAAATGTCTGCTTTCTCAATGTTTACAAATAGCATTTGAAGCAAAAGTCAACTGCTTCCATAGGAGAGACTATGATGGGCTAAAATATATACATACACACACACACACACACACACACATAAATATTTCAATTTTACCCCATTTTCTGGTGGTTCCAATAGTTGCATAAGAAATGTCACAAAGACAAAAACACCAGAAGGCTAATGAAGTCACTTTACATCTAGATGTTTATGGGTCAGTTAGATCCAGGACTCTTTCTTACAATGTCTGCATGAGTTACAAACCTTCAGTAGGACAGAAGTTAAAACTCTAAACCAAAGTATTTATAACCTCTTCTCACAAGCTGTTTATCATTTCAATGTTTTAAAATAAACTCATGGTACTAATGAAACATCCAATTCCTTTTGTCACATTCCTGTATCCACAAATTTTTTTTATTAAAAACAAATAACCCAGCCAGTGTTGCTCAGTGGACTGAATGTCATCCCATGCACCAAGAGGTCACCAGTTCGATTTCCTATCAGGGCACATGCCTGAGTTGTGGGCGCGATCCCCAGTAGGGGGTGTGCAGGAGGCAGCAGATTGATGTTTCTATCTCTTCCTCTCCCCTCCTCTCTCTCTAAAAAATCAATAAAAATTTATTTTTTAAAAAATATTTTTTAGAAACCTTATGAGTAATGGCTCTAAGATTAATAAACACATCTTTTCCAAACAGGGGTTAACTATATGGAGAGCATAAAGTGAAAATCCATCCCCCAGGCTTGTACCTGACCAACCTCATTTAAACAAATAAAATTAACCCTGAATAGAAATGTCTAGTTGGAGAGGCAGACTAAATTGTGATTACTCTGTCTTCCTCCTGTAGTTACCTTTCATTCCTTCCCAAAAAGTAACTGGGAGCCAAAGGGAAGAAATTGGGCACTCAAGAATTCCAAGCTTCTAAATACAGGAAGCTGAAAATAAGATTTTTGTTTCTGTTAAATACAGCTAGTCGTACCAAGAAGAATGGAGCAGGGTCTAATAGAACAAGTAACTAGAAACTGAAAACAGAACTTAATTCTCTTTTAGGACACTAAACAGTTCATGCATGCATTCATTCAACTAATTTAAATGGAGCACCTACTCTGGTGGTACAGGAGATTACAACAAGAATAAGACACAAATCTATCTCTATTAGTAGAAATAACTCAAAGAAACATTATATTCATGATGGTTTAACTTATAAATTCACAGTATATGATTTCAAGGGCAAGAATGTATTGTTTTTCTCATTCATTCTTTAAAAACTTTAAAATGAAGGTAATGGTACCAGGAAAAGAGATAGCAGCAAAATATATCAAAATATATCTGGTTATGAAACCAGAAAATATAAATCTTACATTTTTTGTACACTTCAAGCAAAATGTCATCAAACTATTATATAACTGAAGTATTGCATCTATGAATAATAATATACACATATTCAAATCATCTTAAAGGGAAAAAGTAAAAAACTTACTTTTGGATATTTTAACTGGATACTTTTTATTTTTTACCAAAAAATTAGATGATTTGTTTGATCACTGAATTGTTGTTTTGACATTTTGCTTAGAAATCTTACAGCTAGCCAAAAATTGTGGCAGTTTTAAGAATTTTGTTCAAAAATTACAAAATACATTAAACATATTCACCTAAAAATAAATTATTTGTAATGATTTGCTATGTTGCTATACAGATGTTTTTCAGATATTTGGGTAGGAACTGTATTTTCCACTTCTTTGTATCTCCCACTATACCAAGCACAATGAAAAACACAAAATAGGCAAAATTTAATAATAAAATATTTATTAAATCAATGTATTAATTCTATTTAATTTTCATCTATTCCTGATCTTATTTTCAAATAATTTTCTGGTGCTCAGATAAATGCTAAAAGATGTTTGCTTAAATTAAACATATCTTTATTAAGCAGGGAGTAATTAATGTTGTTTTTCAAAGCCTTTCCATAGCTCTACACATTATCTTCCATACTGTCCATCAGGACTTTGTGTCATGAGCTAAAAAGAGAAGTATTTTCCAGTCTAAAACGTGTTTACTGCTGTTGGTGCCACTTTTGAGCAGCAGGCATAATTCCCCATTTCTACTGCCAACACAAGTGACTTCATGTCTATTCCTGTTTTACTAAAGGACAATCTGTACTATGTGCTCCCATTTCAAATATACCAGGGGGACACATCATCCTTTGTCATAAAATAGTCATCTGAAAAGTGAACCACTATCAGCTCAGTCTATCTAATTTTTATAAATCATGCCTGTGGAACAGCTTTATTAATTCTGGGGATTTCTTGCAAGAGTATTAAATGGTTAGTGCAGTATGTTTTAAATGTTTAAAAGCTAAATATATAGAACTAATCATAACCAACACAGAAATGTTCCCTTCAACTACAACTACTTAGTTCTGTTTCATTTCAAGCTAACAATTGCATGTTAACATTATCATTTTGTTTTCATTTCAAGCAGCACAATTCAGAACATGCACGGTTGCAAATCCCTACTTCACAAGTAAGGTAAAAAAATTTTAATTTTAAATATATATTTTGCTATCTAAAATATTTTCAGCTTAAAAATGTAATATTTATAAAGCCCTGCAGCTTCCCACATACCTTAAAAAAAATATGTGAATTTTCTAATGTCAGAGATAATGATCAAAATTTTATCTGTTAAGGCCCTGGCTAGGTAGCTCTGTTAGTTAGAGCACCATTCTGGCATGCCAAGGTTGTGGGTTCAATCCCCCATTCAGAGCACTGTTAATTATTAGAATAATAATATTAGAGGAAGTTTTTTTAAATGTTTTAATCAAATAAGCCAGGACCACATTTCCATGATAATGGAACTTTTTCATGATAATGGAAACCCAATTCTAACAATTTTTACATGTGGTGAGAATTGTCCATGGGGCCCCGCTGGTGTAGCTTAGGAGATTGAGCATCTTCCCATGGACTGAGAGGTCTGGGTTCGATTTCTGGTCAGGGTTCATGCCTGGGTTGTGGGTTCCATCCCCAGTAGGGGGCATGCAGAAGGCAGCCCATTGATATTTCTCTCTCACATCAATGTTTCTCTCTCTGCCTTCCTCTCTCTTTAAAAAAAATCAATAAAAACATATTTAAAAAAAGAACTGTCCACGGGGTACTCTGCATTTTAATAGATCAGTTTATTCATCAATTCATGGCACTGTAAAAAAGAAAGAGTATAATTTGAACCAGATGTTTCTAAACAGCTACCATTTCTAATAGTTAACAAATATTCCAAAGCTAAATACAACCCTAAGGCCTCTCTCCATTGCTATTACACTATCAAACAGTACAGACTGGGGTTTCAAATCTGATGGCTAAACTATATTTGTGTGAAAGAAAGAACAATGACAACTTTCTGCATAGTGGTTATTAAAATATTTTTGTAGAAGTAGATCATCTTCAAGGGGAGATGCGAATGATGCGGATGCAATCCAGGAGAAATTTTACCCACCTCGTTTCATTCAAGTGCCAGAGAACATGTCAATTGAAGAAGGAAGATTCTGCAGAATGGACTTCAAAGTAAGAGAAGAATTTTAAAATACTGGAGGAAAATTAACAATGGGATACTAAGTTTTGAAACAAATGCTGGAGCCAAGCTTACCTGAGTTTGAATCCTGGCTCTGCCACTTTTCAGCTATGTAACCTAGACAAGTCACTTAACCTTTCTGTGCTTTTGTCTCATCTGTAAAATGAGAGTAACAAATGTACCTATTTTATAAAGTTGTTTGAGGATTAACTGAGTAAATACTCTAAGTGACGCTATCATAATAGGATTTCTAAAGTAGAATGTCTCTTTAATTCTTCTCCATTAAGAAATTTAAGCAACCCTGCTTTCTCTTAGCCTTGAAGAGTTCTTCAAGCTAGAATAGCTTTTCCTACAATGTCATTAACTTCATTTTGGAGAATTTTTCTTATAAAATGTTTTTCCTTATGAATGAAAGTCAGTATATGGATTTAATTGTTAAGGCTTATATAAGAACACTTAACAAACTGCCACTCATATACCAAGACTACAGCTCAAGAACAGTTTTGGGAAGATTATGTATTAGATCAGTAAGCTTCATGTATATGTGCTTCTGGGACTGCATTTGCAGTCACCATTAGCCAGAAGAATGATATGATCCATATTCCTTAATTAAAAGATCTTAAAGAACCTGAGGTTGCATATGAAAGATCTAGATGTGGTTTAAGATAGTCTGAAAATGCTATATTAATTTCAAGAGTTTAATTTGTACTGTTGTGTTAAAAATTATTGAAAGCAGCCCTGGCCGGTTTGGCTCAGCGGTTAGAGTGTCAGCCTGTGAACCAGAGTCCCAGGTTCGGTCCCACTGAGGGCACGCACCTCGGTTGCAGTTTGTCCCTGGCCCCGGTTGGGGTCATGCAGGTGGCAACCACTCGATGTGTCTCTCTCACGTCAATGTTTCTCTGTCTCTTTCTCCCTCTCTCACTCCTGTTCTATCTGAAAATAAATACAAAAATGTCCTCAGGTGAGGATAAAAAATAAATTAGCCCTGGCCAGTTTGGCTCAGCGGTTAGAGTGTCGGCCTGCGGTCCAGAGAGACCCGGGTTCAGTTCCCGCTAAGGGCATGTACCTCAGTTGCAGTTTGTCCTCGGCTCTGGTTGGGTCATGCGGGTGGCAACCACTCGATGTGTCCCTTTCACGTCGATGTTTCTCTCTCTCTCTCTCTCTCTCCCTCCCACTCTATCTGAACAAAATATGGAAAAATGTCCTCAGGTGAGGATAAAAAACTAAAATAAGTTTTAAAAAATATTGAAAGCAAATACCTTTTAAAGCTCTTGCTTTGCATTTTCAATCACAAACCCACTCAGGTGCTAGAATTATTAAAATTCATAGACAGATGAGTTCCAGTGATGCTATAATTTAAAATCCTGTCATCTCCTTGTGTTTTCATTTCTAGGTGAGTGGACTGCCAGCTCCTGATGTGTCATGGTATCTAAATGGAAGACCAGTTCAATCAGATGATTGTCACAAAATGATAGTGTCTGAGAAGGGTTTCCATTCACTCATCTTTGAAGTGGTCAGAGTTTCAGACGCAGGGGCTTATGTATGTGTGGCCAAGAATAGAGCAGGAGAAGCCACCTTTACAGTGCAGCTGGACGTCCTGGGTAAGCCCTCTAAGATATCATAAAGTATCTTTAATCCTGCAGTATTAAAAAAGAAAATCCCAGAGAACTTCATATTTAAAGTTAATGTCTACACTATACAACCCAGCAGAACCCCAGTTTTTAACCAAAAGCCACTGATAGGTGTAAGGGTTTGAGGGGGATAATATTCTTGCGGGAAACTCAGTGAAACTAGAATGACAGATCTACCACCAAAGCTTTTCTGGATGGAAAGGAAATAAAGAAATGGTACAATTTCAGACAGACCAAATAAGGTAATTAGAAGCATTTCTAGAGATGTAACTAACAGGTCTTAAAGTGAAAATTTTTAGTCTAATCATTTCTCTGATCTACAGTCTAAAATAATCAATCTGACTCACATTTTCACAGAATTGTCATAATCACACATAGTCTAAAACTGAAGAGTAAATGTCAACTTTTAGCCTTAGATTGTGTTACTTTTACTAGGAAACTCATCTGTAATTATGACAAAAACATGCCTACTTGCTTTAGAAAACAATATGGTAAAACTCATGTCTCAAATTTTCTTTATAATGTAGTTCTCATAAAACTGATGTTCTGTTTTAAAATATTACAGTTTAAGTGCTTAAAAATATATCACACTTGTAATGGTCTAAGCCATGATATATCACATATAAGAGATTTTGCTATGTCATTGTTATATAAAAGCCTGACAAGTTGAAATTTTTTCTTGAGTTTGCATTCTACTCAGATCAATGAAAAAAATTTTAAATTATTCTATGATATAAAAAGAGGCCTCAGTCTAAGGTGAAAATTAGCGACCTAGAATCCAAAAAACAAAAACAAGTCAAGTGATTTGGGCAAATCTTTCTTGTGCCAATAGTTCCAGAAATACTATAATGTTATGTTGAAAGAGACCTTGACAGGCTGTCCAATCTCCTCATTTCTCCTTTAGAAAAGCTAGGGTTATGGTATTATAGTATCATTTCCTCTTTTCCCTCAGTTATTTGAAGAAGACATAATAATTACTGACATTTGTATATTATTTTATCGTTTACAAAGTGCTTCTTCATTCATTATTTCAATTGATTTTCACAATAATTTTGTATGGTAAGCACAGCAGTCACTATTACTTGGGTACTGTATTATTTTACAGTAGATAACACTCAGTATCAGAGAAACTAAACAAATTTTTCTCAGTTTGGCATGGCTAACAGGGCAAATAGAGAATCTGAACCCAAGCTGATGGTATTCTTTCTACCACTCATGCTGCCTTCCTATAGATTACATGGTAAATGAGAATATGACTTAAGTTCTTTGAATGAAACATGATTATAATATCAGTTCATCATTACCTTATTGTTTTAGAACTCTAAATGGTATAATAATACAATAATATTGTATATTATTTTAGCTAAAGCTAAAACATGAAGCTTCAATCTTTTAAAAAAAATTTATATCAACATACAAATTTCATAATACTTTGGTTTGACTTAATATCTTTTTTATAATATTTCAAATACTTGATTTTTTTTTATTAATATGTAGCAAAAGAACATAGAAGAGCACCAATGTTTATCTATAAACCACAAAGCAAAAAAGTTTTTGAGGGAGACTCAGTGAAGCTAGAATGCCAAATCTCAGCTGTACCTCCACCAAAACTTTTCTGGAAAAGAAATAATGAAATGGTACAATTCAACACTGATCGAATAAGGTAGGATAAGTATTTCTAGACTTAACTATAGTTTACTTTGGTGAATTCAGTTATATCTTGAAATGCATTATAAATGGCATGCATTTGTGATCTCAATTTGTCTCATTTTTAAAACATATATACAAACATAATAAACCTCATTAAGCCAGAATCCACTAATCAGACATTTAAAGCAAAAAGTAGGCTAGCATGTACCTTGTTACTAACAATAAACAAAGATGGCTCAAGGAAATAGATGATACAAAAGAGATTTGATGGTGGGATGTTTAATTCAAGAAAACCAATAGCTATTTGGCAATGACTAAATATAGCCCCAGAATCTCCAAATGCTACTTTTTCTTATTAGTCTGACTCTGTAGATCAGGAACATCATAAACAAACTTTCACAGGAAAATTACTTCCTATACTTTCATTTTTTAATTGCTTCTTTTCAGCTTATATCATGATAACTCTGGAAGAGTTACTTTGCTGATAAAAGATGTAAACAAGAAAGATGCTGGGTGGTATACTGTGTCTGCAGTTAATGAAGCTGGAGTGATTACATGTAACACAAGATTAGATGTTACAGGTATGTTACACTGTTATAAAGCGTTATGTCAAGTGTTATAAAGGACAACCAGGAATACTTAATAAGAAACACAAATCCCAGCATAGCACAAAATCTGAGGAATTTTTTCCATATATAATCAGTTTTTATTTCTTTTTTTCTTTTCCTGTTGGATAATGAATACCTAGTGCAACCCATTTGTTTAAGTTTTCTGAATTAACTTTTATTTTATCTATTTCAGCCCGTCCAAACCAAACTCTTCCAGCTCCTAAGCAGTTACGTGTTCGGCCAACTTTCAGCAAATATTTAGCACTTAACGGAAAAGGTCTGGATGTGAAACAAGCTTTTAACCCTGAAGGAGAGTTTCAGCGTCTGGCAGCTCAATCTGGACTCTATGAAAGTGAAGAACTTTAATTACTTTACCAACATTGGAAAACACAATTAGTATATAGTCAATTAAATTTTTGAAATAAATCCATAGCTGTATTAACAGATTATGGCTTTCATTAGGTAATATAGCTAATATATATTTATAATATATCTATCCTTTGACTCTTGCACATTTTATCTACTTCTCTGGTTTGTGAAGCCAACAAAAAATTCAGGTACATGGTTTTTAATTGTAAAAGACGATCTTAAAATGTGGGATTTTAACATTTAAGTCACACATTTAACAATTACAGGTTATGAATTAGTATCAACTTTTTAGACACACCTAATGCTTGTAATAAGATTTACTGGTACTGTTTTCTAAATACTGTTTTACTCATTTTCTCTTATAGAAATACTAACATGGTATAGATTTTCTGAGTGTTCCACAGTTTTATGTCAAAAGAGAATAAAATTCCAATTATTTAAAACAGACTGTCTCCTCACAAGTCTAGATTTAACATAAAACTTCTGGTTTTTATTTATCAAACAAGTAGCAAACTCCATGAATAACAAGTTCCAAAAGAGCAACAATATTATATTCTAGAACAATGTGTCTTCTTGGTAAAACTTACAGCTCAGTCAATCTCTCCTGAAACTGGGCTAGATTTTTCAAGGTTTGCACTTTAAAGGCATGAAGAAATCTCTCCTTAAATTCTGATTTTGTTTTAACCAAATAATTCTTCAAGATCTTTGAGACTATTGAACTCAGTGGAATAAGAACAGCTTGTAGAGTCATCTGCTTAATTCTTATATTTAATGTAAACCTGACTAGCTGTAATTTGGGTTTTCTTTCTTCCTACATTTTAAGTTCAGATAACCTGTTACATTAAAAAGCACAATTTTGTAAGCATCCGAGAGTCTAAGTACAGGAAAGGGCACATCCTTTTATTAAACTATTCTTAAGCTATGACAGTAGCCTTTTCTTTTTCTCAGTCCCCTGTTCACTGGCTGTCAGTCTTTTGAGAGGCCTCCCCTGTTCCTTTTATCATTAGTAGCCTCTGACCCTCCCTGCTGTGTGGCCTAGTTTTGCTTTTTATCTGCACATAAAACAGCATTTATCAACATCAGTCTACATCTCTTTCAGGGAAATAACAAAAATGGCTTTATTTTTTTCTTTCAAAACAGCTTGATGGTTTTCTTTGCTGACTGCCCTGGGGCCTTTCATCTGATTTCCGTTTTATTTTCCTTTTTACCAACATCAGAATCCCTTCTGTCTCAAATCCTGGCGAGCTTGGATGACTTAATTTATGGCCAAATTTGTTTGGCCTTTTCCACAGCTGGTTTACAAACCTCCTTCCTCATCTCTGCAAAGCTTGGGGCCAGATGTGAGCCTGGACTCCCAAGGACTACTGTTTTTGGCCTACCTTTTACATAATCACTGCAGTGCTGGATTTTTTTTTTTTTTTAACCTATTTCAACGTTCCCTTTAGCCACACTGGGTGGAAAAGAAAGGTGGAAGCTATTGCTAGCAACATCTCTCGATTAATAACCAGTTTCTACACGAGCAGCGAGAGCGGGGGGGTGGGGGGTGGGGTGCATTCGGGCCCTGGCGTCCAGCGGACCTTGCCCCAACTTTGGTAAATTACCCTCAGCACCCTCGGTTTCTTCAGACCTAAAATGAGGACAAAACACCTACCTTTCAAGAAGGGGGTATGAAGACCAAACAAGCCAATAAATGTTAAAGGTTTTCAAGAAAGAGTAGCCCGTTATAATTAATTACTACTATTTTTATGATTAACCCCAGGCCCAACGCCAGGTTTGCCCTAGAAGTCGGCCCTCCGCAGGAGACAAACGCCGCAATCGCCAACCCCGCCTCGGGCGAAGCCCTTCCAGACAGTCCTCGGTGCGCACGCGCAGTTGCAACCTGTAGAGCAGTTTGCGCCCCTCCAGGAGCTGCATGCTCGCGCAAGCGCATGAGCTAGGCGACTCGCGCAGGCGCGGCAGACCTGAGAAGTTTGAACGGGTGTTTCTTTCAGGTCCGCCATGCCTGTGGCGTCCCGTTGGCACAGAGGCGGTGAGGGGTGTTCCAAGGGGTGGGTGGGACACGGCAGAATTGGTAATTCCAAATACCCTTGAGGGAAATCTATAGCCCATATTTGTTCGTGTGAGAGAGATGTACGTGTAGCCCTCACGACCTCCCCTTAAGCGGAGAGGGACTGTGGTCCCATTTTACAGACTGGAAAACTGAAAGCCCTGCAGAAACGTGGCACGAGCCCCTTGTCCTTGGCTGGAGCTGGGCGTTGGCACTTGCTGTACTGTGACCGTCACTAGACCAGTAGGGAGTCGTGAACTTGGCTGAACCCCAGGCTGGCTTCCCAAGAAAGTATTGACTGGTGGAGGAACATGGGGGATTTATTTGGTACTTTGCTTTTTTCATTTTAAGACAGGGCTGGGCTTTTCCTGTACATTCGTTTTATGTTATAAAATTCACTAGTATAGTCACAAAATGACTGCCCACTTACCCCCATAGGAAAATGTTAGTAATTATTCCTCCTTTATAAAAGTGAGAATAAAACAATCGGAAGCCACTGACCCTGCCCTTCACATGGTATAACACTAGAAGTGGCTGGTTTTCTGTAGTTGTTATTTATATACATTATGAATTACATACTAACGTAAGAAATTTTTTGTTTTATATCTCACAGGGACTCCAACACATAAGCTCCATTTCAGAAAGGAAGTAGAAATTAGAACCACACTACAGGAGTTATTACTCTACTGTATTTTTTTAATAAACCTATGTATATGTAAGTACACAGATGTAGATGAAAATGCTCTTTGAACTAAAGTTATGTGGAGATGAGAAATAAAACATGGGCTTTATACAACCATAGGCTTTCAGAATACTAAAACTTCAAAAACTAGTGACATGTTTCAGAAACGTTATTTTAAATTCATTTATACTGACACTATTTCCAGTTCTTAAGGAATAAACTTTACACCACAGATATAATGTAAAGCTTTCTCTGGACCGCAGGCCCACGCTCTAACCGCTGAGCCAAACTGGCCAGGGCTAAAGCTTTCATACTCAGCATTGACTGAATTAATTATTCCTTTCAGTTGGCATTTCTATCGTGAACATAAATTATTCCCTTGAGTTGGCAATTCTAACTTGACTTCTTTTAGAGCCATTATGAGCTGTTTAATAGGACAAAATACAAATTAGGCAAAGAAGTTGGTTTTGGTGTCTGCTTTGTTCTTTTCCCTGTTCTGTAGCACAATTAATAGTAAACTATGTTTGTGCTGAGTCATAGGACATATGGATCAATGCAGATCTTTTAAGAAGGAATGAGAAAATTTTTCAACCTGCAATCCTCCTATCTGGATCAATGGTGTTGACTTAATTAGTATTAAAGAGCATTTTTCTTTAGAGTGCCCAACATAGAGTAGATATAAGCTCGCTGGCCAGACTTACCTCATTTTGTTATGGACTACATACTGGTAGTCATGTATCAATAGGTTTGTAGGAGTGAGCTTGAGTTGGATCTTGATTAAAAAGACAACTATATAGCCCTGGTCGGTTTGGCTCAGTGGTTACAGCGTCGGCCTGCGGTCTGGAGAGACCCGGGTTCGGTTCCCGCTTAGGGCACGTACTTCGGTTGCAGTTTGTCCCCGGCCCTGGTTGGTCGTGCGGGTGGCAGCCACTCGATGTGTCCCTTCACGTCGATGTTTCTCTCTCTCTCTTCCTCTCTTTCCCTCCCATTCTATCTGTACAAAAAATGGAAAAATATCCTCGGGTGAGGATAAAAAAAAAAAAAAAAAAGACAACTATATAGCCCTGGTCGGTTTGGCTCAGTGGTTACAGCGTCGGCCTGAGGTCCAGAGAGACTGAGGTTCGGTTCCCTCTAAGGGCATGTGCCTCGGCTGCAGTTTGTCCCCTGCCCTGGTTGGGTCATGCGGGTGGCAGCCACTCGATGTGTATCTTTCACGTCGATGTTTCTCTCTCTCTCTATCTCTCTCTCCCTCCCTCCCTCCCTCCCACTCAATCTGAACAAAAAATGGAAAATATCCTCAGGTGAGAATAAAAAAAAAAAATCTTAAAAGGACAACTATAGCCAATCTTATAAATTAAGATATCTTAGACTGTGTTTTTTTAACCTTTTTTTCTTTATTGATATTAGAGAGAGAAACATCAATGAGAGAGAACATCAATTGGCCACCTTCTGCATGCCCCCCACTAAGGATCAGGCCCACAATCTGGGAGTGTGCCCTGACCGGGAACCAAACTGGCGACCTCTTGGTGCATGGGTCGACGCTCAACCACTGAGCCACACCAGCTGGGCTAGACACTACAGAACATATAGGGAATGGAAAAATATTAAAAGATCATAATCCCATTATTCAGAGATCAAAAGCCTTTATATAATTAGAAAGAATTGAAAACAACTTAAATCTCCATCAACAGGATTTGTTTGACCCTATATACAGTGAAATAATGCAACTTTAAAGAAAGGCATAGGCTCATGGAATGATGTTGAAAATACATGGTTTCTAAAAACTAAAGGGCTTCTAGCAAAAAAAAAAAAGTAATCTACACTCCATTCTAAAACCCACCCACCCACTCCTAGAAAGAGTAAGGAAAGATATTAGTTAATACTTGTTACAGTGTTACATTTGCCATAACTTAGTTTTAAATGTCCCACTTACATTTTCTCACTTCTCATAACAAAACTATGAGTTAAGAGATATTATTCCTATGATAGTACTCAAACCATTATCTGTTTGTATTCAAAGTCCATAGTCTTTACTTACCATGGTATATTGCCTACTCTCAATATGGAAAAAGCCAATTTACAGAATAGTGTGTATAATGTGATCTCATTTTTGTAAAGATAAAGTTATTTTCTTTATAAATGCATATGCATATAGTAAAATCTGGAGAGTATATGCCAAATCTAACTCTAGCAGTAGAATCACAGGAATCTTCTTCCTGTTTTGTATGTTTCTATTTTTGTTTTTTAACTCTTTTTTTTTTTAAATCCTCACCCAAGGATATTTTTCCATTAATTTTCAGATAGAGTGGGAGGGAGGGGAGGAGAGAGAG